GTTGTTAAACGCAAGAAAAACATGCAATTTTATAGAAATCCTTGATTATTCGTTGATAAATCTAACACCAAGTCCTATGCCAGTATAGCAGCGAGGGCCCTAGGGAAAATAAACTATTTCAACTAAACAAATGTGTTAATCATTAATAGACTTGGGAAAAAAGTATCGAGGTTAAAGAAAAAAAATGAGTAAAAGGATAAACCCAACTAAGAAAGATTAAAAAGACTAACAGTGTAACTTGAAGATTAAACTTCGTTAACAGTGTATGTATTAAAATTATTAAAAGCTGGTTGATCTAACAGAGAAGGGCTAAGTGAATTATAACAGAGAGTGAAGGAGAAAAAAAATTCTTCGGCGGTAAATAGAAAGGCTTTAATAAATAGGTGTTAACTACGTTTGTGTATTCTTTTAAAATATTTTTGACCATTAGCTTTTATTATTCCAAATGGAATTAGTTTCGCTCTTTTAGAGTGGCAGTCAAAATGTTTGCTTTCATTATTTCAAAATAATAATAATAACTAAGTTTAAATAACTTTATGGAGTAATCGCTATTCTACAAAATGGAAAGTAAAAAGAATTTTTGAGTCAAAGAGAAACCTAGAAGAGGACTACATAAACTCTCCAAAACATATTGGAGTGTAAATTATGGTTACAAAGTATTGACAATTAATGAAATATCAATGAAAGTGAACTAAATTCTTTCCTGTTTTAAAATATTTTTAGCTAGCTGGAAGTAAAAGTACAAAAAGGTAAGTTCCAAACGAACCTCAGCAACATAAGAAAATGACATCTGTCATTCTTATTTCAAATGGGACGATATAAAATGACGTTGAGAACATATGACAATCCGTTTTTAGATCGAAAAAATCGGTCGCATGAGTGAAAACATTTTCGGAAACTGGCCGCCATCTTGAATTCTGAACTTCCTGTTCAGATTTCGAGGTGCTAACATCGATATTCGTATTCAGTAGGTCCAAATTAGTAAAAAACGCCTATTTGACCAAATGTGTCTGAAATGCCCCTAGAACTTAATAAAACACCTGTTTTTTTATAAAAGTTAACCAGTCTAATAGTTGGATTACCCTGAACTTGTTGGGAAAAATTTATTACTGCATTAAAGTAAAGATTTAAACGAACATCTTAAGGCTGTTCCAACCCCTATTTACGGATTATTTGCGATTTATAATCCTCACCTGCACAAGGAAAAATGTACAAATTTATGAATTGCAATATTAAATATTTTCAGGACGCATACACCTCGGTAAAAACGAATTAAGATCGAACCCTTGGGCATTCCGTTGTTAAACAACCGACTCTCATTAGCACTAAATGGCGCAGAGTTTATTTTCGAGTTACACAAACACAAATCCTCAATAGAGAGCTCCATAATTCTTCCCTTATTTTCTCTACAAGACTTTGACGTAAATGGACAAAATTATGCGCAGTAATATATTTTCCCTAATCTGTGTCGCAAAATGATATATGTTGATTACTGCGGGAGAGAGTGAATAAATAAAATGAGAAATTTTCGTAGTGAAATCTTTTTTTTTTTTAATAAGTCAACAACGAATTTTTTAAGAAATCGATAATTGAAATTCCGGAGTCGGTTCTCAAAGGAATATTATATAAGAAACTAAGTGCATTCCTTTGTTTCGCGTTTCTTCCAAAGAGAATAGCCAATCAGCGTTGAATTGTTACATTTCAATGCAATTTGTACCTTCATAAAAACGATGAAAAAGGGAGAAATGAGATTTTGTTTGAACTTAACTTTATTGAAACTTTCGTTAGTTTAAAATAGCTGAATGTATCCGGTGCGCAATGTATGTATTTCTTTCAAATTTCTCTGTATTTACAAAGTTGATTATATATTTGAATGAACTATGTACACGGGATATGTAAAGCTTGTAGATATTTTAAAAATTGTACTTTAGCGGATGGAATCAATTACATTAGCATACTTCAGTAGGATTACTCCTGCATCAACGGATTCGTAATTTAAAAATTGCATAGATAATTAAAAATCCGATCTTTCCGAATTTCCCATTTCACTGCGAATTATATTTACGTATACAAGGTATAATAACTATTTCGTAATGGAAATCTATTGAATAAGATTCTATTACATCTGTAACGAGCATTAATTTTTGTCAGGCAGAGCTTTAACTTCCTAAGGTCGCCCAAGTAAATTATACTTAATGTAACGTAAATTTAATTACCTTCGCGATTTTATTTATAACTAATAATAAATTTATAACCATCTTAAGATGGATTAATTTATAACAGTAATTATTATTTACCACTTAACAATTTATAATAGTCTAAGATACGGAATTTGATCAAGATTATATATTAGATAACAGGTACATTGATAAATCGCAAATGGGTTGCCTAGGTAAATCACGGGTTTATACGGTTAAATCATATTAACTTTTTTTGATTAACTTTCCCCAATTGTTATTTATGAAAATTTTGCATTAATCAAGAAAACACCACAAGAGGAAGAAAAATATAAGTTGCCTACTTTTTCTTTAGTACAACTACGAAGTTGTCAGGTATGTACAAACAGGCGTTATCAATATACCCTCATCAGTTATTTAATTGAATTTGTTATGAATTGGAAGGATATTTTATCTCTGTCCAATAGACTAGGTTGCCTTTTGAAAAATGTGACACACTCCTGGTTGTGTAGATTTTTAATCGTTAGTGGTAGTGTGCTCTCATGCAATCTATTGCATTTTTACATCAGAAGTGGGATGTACTCAAGTAATAGCCACTGGGACAATAAAATAGAAAATGTCTAAAGGACCTCGTTCGCGCCCCGACAGTACCAAGTTCAAAAAGAGTGTCTGTGAGGTGGAGTGCGATGAATCTCCTTTCAGGAGACAACAGACGAACAATGAGTTTCAGAAAAATTTTGATTCAAATTGCAAGTGCAACAACAGTTAGCCGCAATCGTATGGGAACAATTTTCGTTTCTATTGCTCGTGTGAGTAGGATAAATCATTTCTAAAATAGTTTTTTTAAATAATTAAATTCTGTAGTGTAAATATGTGAAATTTAATGTGATTCGTAATTTAACTCCTGTAGGAATCTGGAATTAATTCGAATTTCTTCCAGGGGAGGGCGGTAGTTTCGGAGATGTCATGTTTGTGGACATTCTCACCAGTACCAGTACAATTACTATCACCATTTCATTCCCACTTCCTTCCAAACGCTATATAAACAGAAACCGAACCAGAAAGGAGGTAGAACCTTTGCCTTGATCCCAAGTACCACATTCCCGTTCCCTTGTCAGAGTAGCGATTGTAGATCGCGCTATGGCAATAATTTAACTGTCCCTCCATCAAAGTAGAGGTGTCGGTTGACCTCTTCCAAATAGCAATGCAAACTTCCGTTATTATTCCTCGTACAGTGCTGAAACACAGTCGATGGCCGAAACCGATAAGGTACTCCTGAAGGAGTTTCCTGTACCTAAGAACCTAAAACACAGAGTTCTTTATTGCCGCAAGTCAAACTAATGAAAAATGGGAACGACTCCGTTGCTATTTTACCTATGCGCCAAAAGAGAGGCCAGGCTGCCAAAAAAGTTACACCATGGAAATGGGAATAACTAATGGCCTTTATTCTTCCTCATTGGAAGGTTGAAAGTGGACAATATTTTGGCCATGATCTTTTTCTCTTACGAGTTACAATTGCAACACCAGGTGCAATGATTATTTTTGGTGGAATTTCCATAACAAACGTGTTGTATACAGTTTAATTGTCAACATTTCAATACTCCTTCCTAGATAGAAAGACTACGTACGAACCTGTCACTGAAATAATGAAAATCTATATTGCAATGTGTTTTCTAGAGATACAAGATGCGCGTTTTATGATACCTTTGCATCCGATGGATGTACGGATGTAGGTACCGTAACTTGCATCTATTCGTAAATATGGGCCGTAATGTAATATATGTGACGAAATTAAACTCAACAGCAGCTTAGATCAATACATTCACAAACCGTGTTCCATTAAAAGCTAATCACTTCAAAAAGGCACTAATTCGACGGTGTGGGTAAGGAACATATATTAAAATTTGTAATTACGCCACGTCACATTTGTGGAAATCTGTATACCAAAAATTAATTTTAGTCTTCCATTAAACTTTATGAATTCAGCTGTCAGAGCACATACACAATCTAGAAGCAATAACCACAATGAGAAGCTTAAAAGGCAAATTTAAAACAAAGACCTTCTCGCTTACAAAATCCTTCGCGGTATATTAATTACTTTAATATGAAGAAAAATGAATGCAACGTATTTAAATTACTAAAGGTTGGCCTCATACAAGTTTTTTATCTTCTAAAAGAATTGTACTTAAATTTTTGGAACCGTTGTAGCAATACTCCGAATATTAATTTCCTAGGAGACATCTAATGCCTTCGAAATATTATTTTCTTCTTATATTGCACGCTTCAAAAAGGTATGAGGGAACAAAATTAAATTACGCAAACACCCAAGCATTCGAATACAGGACGGTGGGATTATTTTTGAAATGTAATATTTTTTGTTTGGTACGGTATTACTAATCCAAGGAAAATGTGAACAAAATGCCGCATTGAAATACAAACCGCTTTTAAGAATAGTAGTAAGATTTTCTCATTGCGTGGAAAGTGAAAATATGTTTCCTTCTCAAATTTCTAAGTATAAATTGTAGGATGCGATAATAATGCAAGCGGCGTAGAAGGGTCTAACTACGCCCTCTACAACTCATTGTGCTCTTTATAATGAATTTAAATGAGGTAAAAAGTACGTAATGTCTATAGTACATAAAACAGTGGTATATATTATAAGGACGAATTTATTTAATGAGTAGGTAATTGTTGCATTTGAGAAGCCTTAGCTAAAAATTGCAATTTTTATCCAAATCCAGTTGCATACTTGAGGAGAAAAAGATCTTAATTTAAATAGTGACACAACCTTTTTATTAAAACTAACTCTGACTTCTTTTCCAGGCGTGTGGTGTATCAAAAACGTAATGATAGAAATCGATCCTCCGGTGGTTGAGCGAGGTGCAAGTGCAACCCTTCGTTGCAATTACGATTTGGAGGGGGAACCTTTGTACACAGTAAAATGGTATCGAGGCCAACGGGAATTTTATCGATACACGTTAAACGAAGTACCGCCGACAAAAGTATTTCTTTTCGAAGGATTAAAAGTAAACGTTAGAATGATTAACGATTATACTAGCTTTTTTATATGAACGAAGTAAATTTGCAGCTCGAAATGTCGGATGAGCACCAGGTGGTTCTACAGAATGTCGAATTCAATTTATCCGGCAACTTCACTTGCGAAGTATCTGCAGATGGACCGAGTTTCCCGACCGATATGGTGTCGAGGAATATGTCCGTTGTAGGTATGATAAATGATTATAAATCTTTAGTCCTATTAGCTTAAAATATGGATTTCCGTTTTAAATTTCAATTACAAGTCCGCCTCTTCTGTTCTTTACAGTAATACCGAAACATCCCCCGACGATAACGACGGATAAAAGCGAATATACAGTAGGCGATGTGGTTAGAGCAAACTGCACTTCGTCACCTTCAAAACCAGGAGCGACGTTAACTTTTAGCCTTAATAATATGGTGGTAAGATTCCCATCCCTTAATCCAGTTGCAGATTACAAACTAATTGAATTATGTTATGTGTTCAGAGTCCTTAACAAAATGAGGATCCATTCCATTTCGCAATTCTAGACAGCGTAGTATATTTGAATCCTTTTAGTTGTATTTGCAGATCCAGTGCAACTCCGACATTTCTTGTTTAATTTGAGTTCGTGTTGCATAAAACAAATCGTACATTAAGTTGCCCCTTCACACTCAAAAACGAAAAAATTCTTAACATATTGTACTCGTTTTGTTCTGGTTTTTGCGCTACATCTCACGTTTTGTACATCATTATTTATCAACGGAAATAAAATCTTCAATTTGGTGCTACAACATAAGACACACGTTATATGAGCGAATAAATTTTGGCATGTTGCATTTTGCACATTTTGTGCCGTACTCAGATTTTTATAATGGCCGTGAAAATACAAGGTGTCCGATCATGATCAAAATCTGAACTGTGTGCAGAATAGGGGGTGTCATTTGCTTGCTTCGATGGCTAAAAATCTATTTGTGTTTCACTATGGATGCGAAAAGTTTTCGTGCTAATTGAACTTGAGATGAAGATGCCTTGTGAGTTGGGTAAAAGATGTTTGAAAAGAAACATGAGGATTCTTCCCTTTTGGTATAAAAAGAAGTCTTTGCCCAAGAGGAAGAGTGCTGTTAAAACTTAGTGATGATTAAGAATCTTTCTAATCAACCCCATGCAAACGTATAGCGTGTAATTTAAGATTAAAATCCAAGCATTAATGGCGCATTACCACTAAATATATAATTAAGGAAAATAAGTGAAAGTTTCAAAGTAAGATTCAACACATTAAAAAAAGAGTTTATTTTGTAACATATGTTAAATTGACATTTTAATAGGTTTTTTTATAACATGCTGTTTAATTTTTCGTACCTATAATATTGTTGATCCTATTACCATGGTTACTACCTACGCCAATCTTGAGAGCATTTTTCTCTCACGATAAAATATTAATAAAAGACGAATCCGGATAAAATATGCTTCAGTGTTATAAAAAATCTTGAAGATAACACGGTGTTTTATAATTTAAAGGACTCTACCCGTTAACACCTCGCTCCCTTCGGTCGCTCGGATTTAAATATGCATCGTCTCGTCCTTTAAAGTAGCTATAAAACACTGTTATCTTAATAGCTATGAATGCCCATGGTATCCATGCTTATCTTGGGCACAGTGTATATCTCCGTTAATATTAATGACACACAAATATGGTAATAATTGAAAGTCTTTATTACTACCATTAAGTTGTAATTACATCGTCTTTCGTTAATATTGATGCACAAAACGTGGGGTTGGTGCACAAACCAGCAAAAAGCGACGATGGGTGTACCCATACATTTCTTCGTCTGACCACTAATGATTCGCTTCAATGTTACAGGTACCCACACACAGTGAACGTAAAATTCCGGTAGCACGAGGCCTATGGGTCACTTGGGCTTCCACTGAATTCAAGCTCTTTCATTCCAATTTCCTCGATGGTTCATTATATCTGCACTGCCTAGCACAGGTTACAGATCTGTATCAACACGACACCCCATTTCTCCTGGACAATCTCAAAGATCCAGTTCCAGCTAGAGGTAAGATACCAGACTCGTATAATATCGTTGATTAAAAGAGGTATGGCAGGGTAAAGGAAATGCAAACAAATAACACAATTAGAGTCCAAACATCACTAAAACACTAAAAATCCCAATAAGTCGAAAAAAAGTTGAATAATTGAAATACTCAAAGAGTAGAGAAATATGAGCAACAGTTACAGTAAGCCAGAAATTTTATATTGCGATGTCGATTAGGAGATCCATTTTAACAAGTAGAGTAACTTTCTAACCGCACCAGCACGAAACGTATATATTACAGTAAACGTAAAAGAAATTGGGCGCGAATTCCCATTCAAGAAATTCAAGAATTAAAAAAAATTAGAGCAACTCAAACCCACAAAAAACACGCCAAGGTACCACAATAAATACTCAATTAAACTTATGTGTAACTCATGAGTTTTATTAAAATTTTATTGTGGTTTCTTGGTGTTTTCGTTTCAGTTCTTGTTACTTCAACGTCCACAAGAGTCCCAGTATATTTTAGCAATAACGTAGTGAGGTAATCATTAGCGGAAAATAGGGACTTGTTTGGATAAGTTTTTGGGGGAAAACGATCTACAGGATGCGTTTTTTTCGCTCCTGCATTATGGGGTTTCTTGCTTAATTAGGATATACAACATTGGTTCAAGTATTGCAAAGTTGCTAAATTTACATTCATATTTTAAAATGAAAACACTGTTGTGGCACATCAAAACTAACAAAAATGAACAGCTGTACTTATTAATTTAAATCATAACACATTTGGCTGCATTTGAATACCAATGGAATGAAAATGTAAATCCCGCTTTTATTGCTTTAATTTGATGTAAGAAACTATAACTGCGACGAACAGCATTTTTCCGTGTTAAATATTGGCGCACATTTAATTCAATTTTCCCAGGGTTTCTAGTCTATAACTTTTGATTGAGAAGTCTGATCGAAAAAGTACGAATTGTTTTGGATTCTACGCACCAAAGTTAATAAGAAAAAGTGTTTTCCCGAGAAATTTTGGTGCAGTCGATTTTTGGTAAAAAAGGAAGGTTATACACTGCCTTTTTTTGAGCCCGAAAAAAAAATTGTCTCAGATCGACCCGGAAAAAAATTTTCTTATAGAATGTGGCCTGTAGAATCCATAATTTCAAACAGTTCCAAGATTGGGCTACTAGTTCAAAAGTTACAGCCCTTTAAATTTTCTTTCGAAATTGGTTTCTAGTCTATAACTTTTGATTGAGAAGTCTGATCGAAAAAGTACGAATTGTTTTGGATTCTACGCACCAAAATTAATAACAAAAAGTGTTTTCCCGAGAAATTTTGGTGTAGTCGATTTTTGGTAAAAAAGGAAGGTTATACACTGCCTTTTTTTGAGCCCCGAAAAAAAAATTGTCTCAGATCGACCGGGGAAAAAAGTTTTCTTATAGAATGTGCCCTGTAGAATCCATAATTTCAAACAGTTCGAAGATTGGGCTACTAGTTCAAAAGTTACAGCCCTTTGAATTTTCTTTCGAAATTGGTTTCTTGCCTGAATTTTCCCTTATTTGCCCTTTTCGACTCTGGTTAGGATTTATGCCGATTTTACTTAGGAGCGGTTGTTTGACGAGTGTGTAGCGAATGTTCTCATGTAAAGAATTACATATTCTGAAAACAGAGCTTTATGTAAATAAGATACTATTTATACATAATTACATGTGCGCTATTTAGCTTGCCAAAGAGAACTGAAACTCCCTAGTCAGACAGTCAATTGCGCTTGTTGATTAACTCGTAATAATATCTACACGAATCTAGATAAATAAACATGATCGCAATAGTATTCCCCATTGCTACAGCTTTGAAATAAGATCTACCTATATCTCAGAATGATGTGATTTTTATAATCGTATTTCTGCTTAACATCTGCAGAAATAAATATATGAAGGATTCATGAAGCAACAGAAACAATTTAAAGTTTCTCTAAGTTCTCAGATCGGTGTTCGATTAAATTGAATACTGGATATATAAAAGTAGATAAAGTTTCTATCAACATTTCGTTTTGGCGGTTAGAAGTTGGTCGAAAAGCGTAATGCATCAAAACTTATTGTACATTTCGGAAGATACCAATAATATAAAAAGTTTCCCGCTATGTTTCACATAGTCACAGATTGTGTTTATGTTAGTAAATATTATGATGTTGTAAGTGTACATTTTTCTATAACCATTGAACTATGGGAAACTTACTTTAATATATCCGTAAAGGATGAATGATAAGAAATGTTGTATTCGGGCATTTCATTTCTAGTGCAGTAGACGTTAAATTAAATGTTTGTATCTCACCAATGCTTTCTTTTTTTCCTTATCCTCAACCATTTTATTTAAGTGGATGTTGTCCATTTAATGAATTCTCCAAATGGAGGCGAAAGGTAATCGTTGTGAGAAAATTACTCAGACTTTCCCCATAGATTCTTTAATAATGTTTCGACATCTTCATGTCATCTTCAGGCAACTAAAATACTAGATTACAATCAAGCAATAAAAATATTACAAAATACTTACAAGTACAAGTTATAACAAAGTGGTTAAATCGTGAAATTTTTACTAGGACAATGAAATTTAATGTTTCGGCGGAAATTCATCGGAAATTAATAACGTGTAGTTGCACCGTTCTACGTTATTGATTTATTATTTTTGATTACTAAAATATAAGCCCTTACAAAAATTTTGCTACCTAGTGCAGCTCTGTACGATTAAAAAAAATATATTTTTAATCCCCTTGAAAAAGAGCGTTTTTTTTTCAAATCGTGAAATCTTAAATCGGCTCAACTTTACGAGCCTCCTTTTTTATCATAAGACATGCTATATGTTTCCTCCAAAGTTCAAGCCCCCACGACCTTTTTCGCAAAAATAAGAATAGAAAACGAAAAAAGCATTTTATCTCGTTTTTCTCGGAAATTTGAGGTTATGTGAAAATCACTAGTGCAGATACAAAAGTTATTTATTTTTTTACCCGCTATAACTTTTAAATTGAACATTTTATCTAATTTATCTAAAAAACTGTCGGTTTACTTTTTCCATAAATCGTTTTGAGTCTTAAGTAAAAAAAAAACAGTTTAGCACAATAATCGGTGCAAATCATCTAATTCTTAAACAATCGGTACCTATTCAGTTGCTATAAATAAAAAAAATAGTCCGAGCATTTTGTAGATAAAGGTCTAAATTTATAAAATAGTTTTATAAAACGGGCGCTCTTATGGAGGGTGGGTGGTTAAATTTTACGTCAAGAACAAAGTTTTAATTGATGAAAAAAAATATTTTTCTGTGCGAAAAAATTTTGGAGCAATTAGTCACTTGAATAGTAAATCGTAGTTAATACGTCTTCAATAATTACTTTGTATTTTACGTTTATTATCTGAGTAATTAGTTTTGCGAGGGACTAACCTGGGTCAGCTTTAAATTGCTTTTCATCTGTACGATTCCAGTCGCGCACTTCGCAAACACACCGTTCGGTCTCGAATAAATGACTGATTTGAAAATATATCGAAATACCTGAGGGTCATATGCTGCTAGTTTGTTGCGTCATGCTTTAAAATTGATAACATACCAATTTAATGTATCATTCACCTCTATAACTTTCAAAATAAGTAGACCATGATTGATTCTTACGGGGTGCGTAAGTATATTTCTTAGAGAATCAATTTTTTAGACTTCTGTAGAAATGGACAAGTAAACTACGTATTAATGCAGCTCGCTTAATGTTACGCAACAAACACATTATATTCCTGTTTATATCCCTCCGAGTGTGATAAATAAGTGCCATATTTTATTTCCAGATTTTTATAGATCATTTCACGCACTAGAAATTTATGATTAAAGGCGCCCCAATATTTGCAAACATTATTCGTCGGCATTCCTTAGAATGTCTTACCCTGGCGAGTGGCAGGTCCAGCGGCAATTTTCCTTTCTGTACGCTCTAGTTTGATTTTGCAGTTATGGTATACAGATAAGGGTAGTTTTTTCAATTACTGCTGTTTACGTATCCGGAATAATAAAAAAAATACCTTGCAAAGGTTATAAACAAATATCGACGGAATACATTATATTGTTATGTTTGTTACAATGTGATTTAAAAGGGTCCTATGGTGTAGACATACAAGGCTTTTATTTCAAAGAGAACTATCAATTGTAATTTGCAAAAACACACCCATCTAGGCAAAAGTTTAATGGAAGGTTTCCCTTAGTTTTAGCATTTATCTCCGCATCCTCAGCTACCATCATTTAAAAATTATAATATGAACCACCCAATGCGAATGTCGCCTCAATTTAAGATCCATAGCAATAGCATTCTCTATACACAAATGCCTACACAAATTTGAATGAACTAGTTTTGAATTAATTAAAAAAAATCGAGAGAAATACAACATAAATGAATTTCACATACAGTACGTGCTCAAACATTGATTTTCTGCTGAAATTGGATGCGATCTTCTCAAAACTAGTGTGGATTTTTGTTATCCCAGTACAGATAATTGTGTTTGTTTACAAATCCGTTCAATGAAACCAAGTTTAAGGGTTGTTTATTACGTAATTTGTAATAGTATCCATAAATTAAGGTTAGGTTAAAGCGTAAAAGTGCTTTATAAATTAGCCGTAATTCAATTTCATAAATGAAAAATTTATGTAAAAAGAGAGACGCATTCTTAAACACTTCTGATTTTCATCAATATACAGTTATTTGACATTTTGGTGTTATTATTTTGCTGGACAGTAAAAAAAAAGATCCATTTGTATCAATAGATTAAACAAAAGATTTGTTACGTAAGCAAGGGGAGTCAGAGAGAGGCAAAGTTTATTAGAGAACCATAAGGGATACACTGAAAAAAAACCGGTCAGGGGTACCCATTTTTATGGTAAAATAGGCGCCAACTTGTAAAATCTTAACAGCTACCACTACAGAATGGTAATAAGTTATTGGTACCAATGGTCATTACAGCGAAGTGATAATTACCGCTACTGATCTCATTGAATTTTAC